GCACTAGATTAATTAACCAAGAAAATTCACCAAGTATTTAAAATACAGTTACCATGATGTTCATGTCAGAAACAAAAGGTTTATACTGAAAAATGTTAGAATGATGAAGAATTTTGATCTCAAAAAACAGATGTTCGTTCCTAGTCTAGAACTCCTCAGTGATGAATATCATTCTAACTCTAAATTTTTTTACATCAACTTAATAAAAAACTGATATTTCTAAGATGTTTACAGAGCAGTTGATTAATTTAAGTAAAATCTAAGTTACGAAACGGCCGAGCACATTTAACGACAGATTTACCATAGTCATTTTTGTTTTGTTGGTTCCGCTCTCTGTTTTTATACTGTAACGGAAACGGAATCACTCTGTTTACAACATTAATTCGCAAACATAAAATCACGGCAGTCCTACTATGAAAATACCGGATCCTAAATACTGCATTCTATCATTACGAAACAGACATAAATTGGTAGTTATGTCACATTTTTAGTGTACTCATTTCCATCTTACCCTGTTTACCGCATAATGTGCTAACAAGAGGGATACCTAATAAGGTACACAGTCCAACACTTTAAAATCCAATCACCGATGATATATTTACTTTGTATCATATGCTTCGCCTTATTACAATTTTTGTGACAAATGTTTAGTGAAAACAATCCATGAATCATATCTTTCCAAATAACGTACCCTTTTATTTCGAAATGTTGAGTCCATTTTCATCAACCTGATCATATTTGTAAATTAGTATGGATTCTGTCATTATTTTCAGAGTATGTATATGCCACAAGCAATGGTGTCATTAAGTTGTTTTCTACAGCACAATGATTTTCTAACTGAAGTCCTTTCATGATGCCGAATATCTTCAAATTTAGGAAGGAAGCAGTTAGAAGAGTTTTATCCTAAGAATAGCAAAACTCATCCTCCCCCATGAATTTCTGTCAGTGGAGTTAAGGTCTGTATTATATCCTAGTGAAGATGTAAGTACAGGTAACTTCCAGGACCTATTAATGGGCTATTATTCTATAGATATTCTTATTGTATAACTATTGACTAACTAGATTGTGTATATCTATATTCATCTTCTTATAAGCTTCATTTTGACCTATGGATTATTACTGTACGATTTACTGTTCCTAAATTATATTCAGTTTACTGATTATTGTATCCCACGTTCACAGCCAAATTTGGCTTGATCCTGTACAAATATTAACTCCGCCTGTAGCTCCTCTGGGGATTACTGCCGGTCCCAAGCCCGGGTAAAGGAGGAGGGTTGGGCATGGGGTTAGCGACCCCATCCCGTAGAAAATCAACTCGCTAAAAAACGCTAACCAGAAAAAAATCATTAAAACCTTTCAAACTCTGCCCTGGGAGTAGAAGGAATAATTATGGCGTCTCATGATGAAAGCCGAGTTCCTTCGGAAGTCATGAGGCCGATTCACCTTCTTACAACCAGAGCGACAATTTTTATAGGTACATGGAATGTCCGAACTATGTGGGAGACCGGAAGAGTCTTCCAAATTGCTGCAGAAATGAGAAAATACAACCTGGAGGTTCTTGGAATCAGCGAAACACATTGGACGCAGGTTGGACAACAACGCTGTCTTGAGGAGAACTTCTGTTATACTCCGGCCATGAAGAAGAAAATGTCCCACATACACAAGGAGTTGCATTGATGCTGTCCAGAAAAGCACAAAATGCACTTATAGGATGGGAATTTCATGGACCAAGGATCATCAAAGCCTCCTTCAGAACAAAGAGAGAGGGCATTACATTGAACGTCATCCAATGCTATGCGCCTACCAATGATTACGATGAAGACGCTAAAGACCAATTCTACGTCGAGAAGTGCCCAACCAAGGACCTGACCATTCTGATGGGAGATCTCAATGCTAAGGTTGGAATGGACAACACTGGATACGAAAACGTCATGGGACAACATGGACTGGGAGAAAGGAATGAAAATGGTGAGAGATTTGCAAACCTATGTGCCTTCAATAAACTGGTCATAGGTGGCACCATATTTCCACACAAAAACATACACAAAGCCACTTGGATTTCACCGGATCACACTACACAGAATCAAATCGACCATATCTGCATCAACAAAAAGTTCAGGAGGACGATGGAGGATGTGAGAACCAGAAGAGGAGCTGATATAGCATCCGATCATCATTTGTTGGTCGCCAAGATGAAACTAAAACTCAAGAAGCACTGGACAACGGCGCGGACAACATCACAAAAGTTTAACACGGCCTTTCTTCGAGATGCTGACAAACTCAACAAATTCAACATAGCCCTCAGCAACAGGTTCGAGGCCTTTCATGATCTACTCAATGGAGAGGGGACTACCATGGAGAGCAACTGGAAAGCTATCAAGGAGGCAATCGCTTCAACGTGTCAAGAGGTTCTGGGCCAAAAGAAGCACCATCACAAGGAATGGATCACTGTTGGTACACTGGATAAAATTGAAGAAAGGAGGAACAAGAAGGCAGCAATCAATATCAGCCGAACCAGAGCGGAAAAAGCCAAGGCACAAGCCGAATACACAGAGGCAAACAAGCAAGTGAAGAGGAGCATCAGAACCGACGAACGTAAATATGTGGAAGATTTAGCGATGACAGCGAAAAAGGCTGTAAGAGAGGGAAACATGAGACAACTGTATGATACAACAAAGAAACTTGCTGGAAATTACCGTAAACCAGAAAGACCAGTGAAAAGCAAGGAAGGCAAAGTAATCACCGACATTGAAGAACAACGAAACAGGTGGGTAGAACACTTCAAAGAACTCTTAAATCGACCAGCTCCACTGAACCCACCCAACATCGAAGCAGCACCCACAGACCTCCCAATCGATGTTGGCCCACCAACAATTGAAGAGATCAGAATGGCCATTAGACAAATCAAGAGTGGCAAAGCAGCGGGACCAGACAACATCCCGGCAGAGGCACTGAAAGCAAATGTAACAGCAACTGCCAAGATACTACACATCCTCTTCGGTAAGATTTGGGACGAAGAACAAGTACCAACAGACTGGAAAAAAGGACTTCTGATCATTATACCAAAGAAAGGCGATCTCAGCAAGTGCGACAACTACAGGGGCATCACCCTCCTCTCAATACCAGGAAAAGTCTTCAACAGAGTATTGTTAAACAGGATGAAGGATTCCGTGGACGCCCAACTTCAAGATCAACAAGCTGGATTTCGTAAGGATAGATCGTGCACAGATCAAATCGCAACTCTGCGGATCATTGTGGAACAATCAATCGAATGGAATTCATCACTGTACATCAACTTCATCGACTACGAGAAGGCATTTGATAGCGTGGACAGGACGACACTATGGAAGCTTCTTCGACACTACGGCGTGCCTGAGAAGATAGTAAATATCCTACGGAACTCCTATGATGGACTAAACTGCCAAATTATCCACGGAGGACAACTCACCGACTCATTCGAGGTACAGACCGGTGTTAGACAAGGTTGCTTACTCTCACCCTTTCTCTTTCTCCTGGTCATCGACTGGATCATGAAGACGTCAACATCTGGAGGAAATCACGGGACACAGTGGACAGGCAGGATGCGACTTGACGATCTAGACTTCGCGGATGATCTGGCTCTTCTATCACAAACGCAACAACAAATGCAGGAGAAAACGACCAGTGTAGCAGCAGCCTCAGCAGCAGTAGGTCTCAATATAAACAAAGGGAAAAGCAAGACTCTCCGATACAATACAATATGCACCAATCAAATTACACTTGACGGAGAAGCTTTGGAGGATGTGGAAACCTTTACATATCTGGGCAACATCATTGATGAACATGGTGGATCAGATGCAGATGTGAGGGCGAGGATCGGGAAAGCAAGAGCAACATACCTACAACTGAAAAACATCTGGAGCTCAAAACAATTGTCAACCAATACCAAGGTTAGAATTTTCAATACAAATGTCAAGACAGTTCTTCTGTATGGGGCAGAGACGTGGAGAACTACGAAAGCCATTATCCAGAAGATACAAGTGTTCATCAACAGCTGTCTACGGAAAATACTTCGGATCCGATGGCCAGACACTATCAGCAATAAGTTACTGTGGGAGAGAACAAACCAGATTCCAGCAGAAGAAGAAGCGCTGGAAGTGGATTGGGCACACTAATTGCGTCACAAGACAAGCCCTCACATGGAATCCTGAAGGCCAAAGGAGAAGAGGAAGACCCAAGAACACATTACGCCGAGAAATAGAGACAGACATGAGAAGAATGAACAAGAACTGGATAGAACTAGAAAAGGAAGCCCAGGACAGAGTGGGTTGGAGAAAGCTGATCGGCGGCCTATGCTCCATTGGGAGTAACAGGCGTAAGTATGTACAAATATTATTTTCTATTTTATGGTGTGATGCGGTCTATCTATCTGGTATATAAACCGAGTATGCTTGCAATAAATGATTCGCATAGCAGAAGCTGTTATTTGTGTTCTAGACTCAATTGTAAGGGCTAGGCGGGTAAGGTACCAATAAGGACGCTAGACTACTCATACTGTTTGAACGTCATTGATTTGGCACAGTGTTAAGATTGGACAAGTCGTATTTCGATTAGTGGATAATTCACGTGATAAAAAGCCGGACATAAGATCATAACGAATTGGATACGCCCTTCTTATTTTTGTAGTCATAACAAATTGGCGACGGCCTTTTATCAAGTCACAAGTCTGAAAACGAGTTAACCCATCAAAAACTACTAGCGAAAATGTAGCATATAAACGACCTCAAGTAGTTATAACTTGGACTCTGCAGTCAGGTTTCCTGTCATCAAACCGGTCCCCAAAGACGTATTCTTACATGGTGTAAGCGAACGTTCTTATATTCCTAATAGCATTATTTCCTTCAGATTTCACTTACAACTGAACTTATAACTTTCGTATTTCTTGCCAGACACATTACTGTAGTGAAGCTAGTCATGTTAGACGCTTCTTACGTTTATCAAAGTCACAAATTAGGAAATTTAAGGAAAATAACGCAAAACTGTATAAATTGAACAGTAAACTTTTAATCAAATAGTACATGTAGTAAGAATGAGACATTAATGTCAATAACTTTTGAGCAGTGTAAAATCAAAATGTTATTCATATTTTATTTCAACAGATAGAAATAAAAAATACTCAATGATTTCGGATTGTTTTTAAAAAAGTCAAATTTGTAGAAAAAAAACACTAACAAACAATAGATGAATAGGCACAAACACAAATACAGAGGCAAGATGAAGTATAAATGAAAGGTTTCAAATGAGATGGGGAAAGAAAAAAATGTCCTCTAAACAGTAAAAATTAAGATTGATCATTATTTAATTATGGATTGATAGAATCAGATTTGAATTTATGTATATTTGACCAAACTACATTCATACAATGCCATTCTGCATGTTCACCGCATAATTTAGCATTTTCAAATGAGGCACACCAAAACGATGGACCACGTGTACATTTATTACCAGGTTTAGAAATTATCTTATGTGATGATTTCTTTGAATTTGACATAGTAATCCATACTTTGGTTTTACAATGTACTAAAGCTGCATTACCGCATTTTTTGGCAACTTCTTCTGATTGACACCAATAAGATGGTCCCCATGTACATGGTTTTATACCTAATAAATGTTCAGACTTGGTTTTCTCAGTTGGTTTTGGTAATGATGTTGTAGTAACATGATTATCAATAACGTTATTATCTTTATTATCAATATCAATGACATTAGTGTTAATTTCAGGCCAATAAGTTGCTGTACAATAATTTGTTGCATTACATTTTCTAGCTGTCTCTTTTGATGAGCACCAATAAGTAGGACCCCATAAACAAGCAATTTTATCAAAATCATATAAAGCGAATGGACTTAATTTATCTGGATTTTCATCTACAGATTTATCTATTGTTTCAGAGAATTGTTCATTTTCACCATCTTTCACTGAAGCACAATTGATTGTACGCTGTGTAACGTATAAGTGATCATTAAAAAAAATATAGAGAATTTTAATCAAAATGATCCAGACAAAAATTTAAAAAGCGTATTTGTAATAGAATTCTTAATTATTCCTAAAAAGTTTCGAACTCATAACAATGAAAAGTTATTAGATGAGACGAAACAGACCTTCAAGTATTAATAATTTGTAGGTGATATTCAACATAGATTGACCTTAGTTGAGGGACCTAGTTGTCCAACGATTAAATGTTCGCTGAGAAAACGTGGTCTTAAGTTTAGTTCCCTTAGTGATCGATAGTGGGGAATGTTCAACAGTCCCAGACTATGACGAAACATCCGTCCAATGGTTCTTGGTTTTCAATAGCACTACAAGTAAGGTTAGTCTGACACAAACACCAACTACAAAAACTAATTTCTACAGGAACCAATCATGTATATTAACGATTCGCTTTAAGTGCTCTTATCCAGAGAAGTGAAAATAATTACAAAATATCCTAGGAACAACATTCAACAAACTGCATCGGCTACCTTAAAGTAGGGCTAAAACCAACTTATCATAATGATCCAGTGACGGGTGCATCACGTGTTCCCGGAGTGAACGTCAACTCTGGGATGCAGGTACACGCATCTGAAGAGTCACAAACAGGACGAAACGCGCATCCTACATTCCACTGCCAGCCAACATCCACCTCTGCTTAAAAGGTGGTTGTTGTTATCACGCGCTAATAATCACTCCATTCTATCGAGTGATCGACTTTGTAGCATATTATAAAGCTTTTGAACACACACAGATCCTTAACATCAAGAAGATTCAAGTAGCAATAATAAAACTTTCTTGTCAGTGAATTGATTTGTCAACCGAGAAAATTTATCGTGAACGTTTAATCTCTAGACTACTGAGGTTGTATCCAACGTTGTTTTTGTCTAACCTCTATCGGTCCACAACATTGCATGACCATCATAAATTGTCTTCGGTGAGTAAATACCTTACTCAACAAGATTTAGCTTAACTGGTCACGACTTCTCCCTACAATTCCGGAAATCTCCTCTTGAAGCTAATCACTAGTGACCACATGATAATTGTTCAGTGCTTCCAGATTTTCAATGATCATCTAACTTAAATCGGTCCATGATTACAAGGAAAAACACATTTTAAAAAATATTTTAAATAATCAAATAAATTTAGAATACATACTGCACATATTTGTTCAACATTACTACGATCACTTCGTGAACGAATCAATAGCACTCCAGCCTTTTCAACAACGTGATAACACTAATAAGAAGGTATGAAAATAAACAAATCAACAGTATGATATTTTTGACTGTTAATTTTATTGAAATAATAAACATCTCTACATGAAAACAAAATTACTCATTAATTTAAACAGCTATGTACACACACATTGTAAACGGTAACTGTCAGGTAGTGATGATCAACATGAAACCTTACAAAAATTCCCAATGCTCTGAGTTGTTACTGAACAACAGGACAGTGAGATCAAATAGACAAGATAATAAGTAAATGAGATAAAATAATAGCTGTATTGATGACAAAAAGAAGGACGAAGCACAAAGAATATATTCTTAGAAGAACAAATAAATCCATAGAATAAAGTATAATATTGAAACGCAATATCGGTAAAAGTAGAATATACTGGTGGCTTTAAGTCAGCCAGAACTACGACAATCCCTTCTGCATCTTACGCGAAATTTAAATAGCATTGCTAGATAATTTGTGTGTTATTATTAACTAGATGGGAATTTAAGATAGTACTTAACTTAAATGAACTAATGAATGGTTAGTGTAGAAAATATTCTCTCTTTCTAATTCTCCCTCTAAATCTCAACCCGAAGCTCCTTAAGTTTGTAAACAGGAGGGTGCCAAAGCATTGGATTAAAACTGGTGTTAGGTCGTGATGAAAACCCCTACCCCAATTTGTAAATTCAACTCAAAACTACAGTTTTTGTCTTTTAATACGTAAGTTTAACCCTTTTACATTATAACTGATGTCATATGGTGATGAAGACTTAATGGGGTGACAATTCTAATTCAGAATACTATCCCGACTCCTAATACGTAAACTTGACCTTTTTCGTTAACTACAAAGAACAATTCAACGTATGAGGGTTAATTACTCAAACTAAAGTTGTTATTCCACAGTTATTTTACTACTTTGTATTATTAATAATTTTATAATTATCCAGTGTTTCTTGATTGACTGACAAGCCATGCAAGGTTGGCAATCGACAGCAAGACGTACTCGCAGTCTTCCGGAAATCGATTTTCTTTATAGGATCCAAACTAGATTTGCTCAGCACCACATTATTTTTAGACGTTATCAAAAAGCTATTCCAGCTGTGACTGACGACCTGTAGAAGTGAGATATGAACAGGCTACTAATCACTGAATAGTAACCAATACCATGAACCGTCAGTTCCCTTAAGATTGCACGGTTCCCTGTTGACTACCTTCAATAACCTAGCATTTCAATATAGTGTACGTGATGTTGAGTCACTTTGACTAGTGACCACATTGCACCCTAATCAATAAAATCCGACCAGCATCAAAGGATTAGACAAATATGACATTGGTAACTTCACATTGATCAATCAATTGTGTATAATGAGGTTTCAATGGTGTATCCAACTGTCATGCAAATAACCAGTTACACTCAGATTGTTGACTGATAATATATATTTTATTCACCTACCTTAAAAAATCACGAGTAACAAGGCATTAACAAGCAGTTTTTTTCATTAATCAAAAAATTCACTGCCATAAATAGCAGTGAATGTTATACACAGCAAAATTAGTGTGCATTTCATTTAAAAGCACAAATAATCAATACTCTTATCATAGAACACACTCAAAAAACAAATCGGCAGTTATGTGCAATACAAGCTATACATGTAGTTTAAGGTTAGTGATCTATAAAATTAATATAAAAATACTCTTATAGTCAATCAAGTTTATATTTTTTTCAATGTGAAAGATGAGTAAATTGATGTCATCATGAACAGATATACAATATTTAGCTATTTGACTATCGATTATCTATGGCTTTTTGATATTTTATCAAAATGAACCCAATAATATATATGCTCATTTGAACTAACATGCATACAATCCCAGTCAACCCCATGATTTATTTACAGTTCTTGAATGGGTATTATTTCGGGGGTTGTATGACAGATCAAAGATTAATTCGACTTTCATTCACTTTTAGAGATGAAGAAGTATTTCAAAGCGAAGATGGAAAGAGTGTATAAAAATGAATAACTTGAATAAATTATTACCGATAAAATATTCAATTACTTTTATGATAGTGTTTTAGAAGCCACAACAGAGAACCTACTTGTTGCGTTAGTTATGACACCATCTTGGGTAAGGAAAAGCGTACATTTGATATATTTACATTAGAACATAGGAGTCGTCAGATATTAATAATGATTCAATCGATGAAATGCTGATAGTTCTTACAACTAATCCAGCATGAGATACTTACAGATAACTAAATCATTGGATTTGCTTGTAATGCATTAGAGAAACAGAAACACGAAACTTTGAATAGGATGTTAAATGGAGCGAATCAACAATACTACCATATGGAAAACCAGTTCGAGCTTATTATCAATAGTTAGGTATACGATTATGGACAAAGGAAACATTAAGTGTGAAAACAAAGAAACTAAAAATACTGATAAATCGTTGTCTTTAGATCATAATGGTCAAGAGGCGTATAAAATAAATAATGAAGCTGATAAGAATCGTTCATTTTTGTGAAACATTGATAAACAGCTGAGAAACCATTGAATATCAAAGACGATCAGACAGCTCTTTTGTCTTGGTTTGACAAATTGAAGGCACAAACTAACGCATTTTTGTTAAATGATCTGAAGGTAATATACTCAATATGAAGCACAACCGTTCACAAGTTCCTCAGTTCACAACAGTACCGTATAGCAGACCGATTGGAAAGTGTGAACCATTAGGTTAGAACTTATCAAGCTAAAGAAACGACAAGTTCATGTTTTCGCACATTTGACGAATTACAAAACTAGTAGGACTACTCAACATACATTTTAATTATCAAAAAAACAAACCATTCTCTCTCTCACCTGTTGTAATTCATTTTCAGTCTTGTATTCAGCACATATACTACGATTAATAATTGGTCCACCAAATAAATCCCATTGTAACAACCATTTAGTTGTCATAACAACACACACGGAACATGGTGATTTATTAATTTTGTCATTATTTAATGATACTGTTGAAATACTGAATAAATTTAAGAAATTTTTCACTTGTTGTTCATAACATTCATTTAAACGATTACATTTTTTAGCCAATTCAGAATTAACACATATCTCTGCTAATTTCATTAATTCACATTGTGATTTAAATAATTTATTCTGATTACTTGGTGGATAGGTTGTCCAACCATTGGAACTGCAATAATTTACAGCATTACACATCTTTGCTGTACTATAATCCCGACACCAATAAGTTGAGCCTAAAAGGCATGGATTTTGTTCGGATAAACTCCAAACTGGCATTGATTGACAAAGTGAAATTGTCTTTAATAAGATTATGGGAAAAAAACACAATCATAAACATGAAAAGAAAGAAGTTTAATAATTTGTATGGAATTATTAACGCTCATTTACCCCAACAACAACGACGACCAAAAACGAAAGGAAAAGTAGACTAGAATGAATCTACTCGATCGTTTAGAAATAAAAATTGTTTAAAAATACGGGTTTCTAATTTGATAAGTTATGTCCTATAGCCCGTAAGCTATAACGTGACAAGATCGCCAATCAGAACACCATTTTATGAATAATGCATTTCAGATTTACGTAGTTTATATACAAGCAAATCAAACCGCATCAACTATGAAATAGAAAACAACAATTATACAAGATCAAGCCAAAAGTGGCTGTGAATGTGAGAGACCGTAACTAATAGATTGGGAATAACTTAAGAATAGTAAATTAAATAATAATAGCCGACAGGTCAATTGAAACTTTATAATAAAAGATATATATATATATATATATATATATATATATATATATATATAATCTAGTTATAAAATAAGAATATAGATACAACAACATTCCATAAATAGTTCCCAGAAGTTACCCACAATTCATTCTTTTTCGGATACAGTAGTGGACTAGTCATTACATTAAATTTCATCTTATTGATTCGACTGATCCGGTTGTGTATGACCATTTCTTTACATTAACAATCATATTGGATGCCGGCTCAGTGGTCTATCGGTTAAGGGCTCCGGCTCGAGACTGGTAGGTCTTGGGTTCGAATCTCGCGAGTTTGGGATCGTGGATGCGCACTGCTGAGGAGTCCCGGTGCTTCCAGGTTTTCAGTGGTGGTCTAGCTTCAATGGACCCATGATTTTAACTATGAAAAAACAATCATATTGTCCTATTTTGTTGGTAATTTTTATGATTTGAGACTCAATCGACTTTACATTTGCCATTTTCAATTTATGATATGGATTAATTCAACTTTAATCCATTGTCTGTTATAACCACAAATAATAATGATTTTGGATTGATAACTGTGTGAAGCTCGATGAAATTAATTATCGAAAACTATTGTGGATCCTGATAGTTTATATGTTTTGAAAGTTTTGTGTCCTTTGGATAGTTCAGTTGTGAAACTCATTGTCTTTCTAGACAATATTATCAGAACATATTTAATAAAAGAAGTGAATTATTAGGAATTCTTCACAATAGATAAATAGCTTATAGCTGGAATTCAATTGGTTGTTATCCATAATTGTTTGGTCATTTATAGGCGACAGTTAATAAAATTCCAGGTTGACAGAACAATATGTTAGCCAGTTGTGGAGATGTTTCAAAACCTCACTTCTTTTTAAGTATATACTGATGATGCTGACTAGAAAAGCTAATTGAACTTTCACGATTACACTCAGAAAACAAAACACATCTAAAATCCCTATCGTGAGCTACAAGTATTCTACATCATCTTACTTATGTTTTAAGAGATTTAAACCGGTTGTTCAGAACCTTCAAATGAACTGTTACATCAAAACGCAGTCATACATCCATGTATTTAGGGACTTTTCCAGAAAGGTCCAAAACACATGATTTTTGTTTAAAGGATATCCACGGAAAACTGTAAGACCACTGAACGGAAATCAGGAGCTTGAACTGGATTCGTAAATGCACAAAATCCATTTAGAAGTGTTGGTAATCCTTGATTTCATTGAGCTCGAGAATTACGAAGAGAATAATGAAGTAGGAAACTATTTTTCATGTTAACTAACACAAGAATGCTTCTACTCATTGGGATAAAACACAAAGATGTATCACTCTTTATTTCTTTGCTACTTCGAAGATTATTGCTTTAAGTAAATAATGTTATATATGCGAAAGTGAGAGGACGAAAAGCGAATGTCCCGAACTTTAACCGGGTCGGTGGATACGTAAAGTTCACCTAGGGGAGCTGGAAAACCCTGACACCAAACCAATGGTGCACATGGGCTTCAGTATCCTGAGGGAACAAATGGAGTATGAATCTATCGTTGGTCACCAACTACCATGGGACTGCATCTCCTCACGATGCTCCACTGCCTTTTGGGTCAGATTTTAGGTCAAAGTCTCGAGGTGTGGCCCCCTAAGAAAACCACCTGCTTCGGTCTGGTTACTCGGGTAGTATCATAGCCCTCACACAATTAAATAAAATGATAATTTTTTGTGTGGCGCATATATATCTGGTGCCCCCTTGTACCAGCATTTATATGTTCAAATAAAATTCTTTGTTGGGCTCAGCATCATATTGAAAAAGAATATATATATATATATAGATATGTAGAGAGAGAGATTACTGACGAAATTGAGTGAATTTTGTCGACTATATGAAGAAAACAAAATATCTTACTTGACATATCTGCTCAGGTGTATAATTATTTTCTATCAGTTTAATGACATCATCGAAATAACGATCAATCAATTCGGAACACTAGAAGACGGAGAAACATGAGAAATGTACATACACAATTGATTAGTCGAGATTTTGTGAAAAATAGTTTAATTTATAGACTATATTCGTCACAGACTAACCACAGTTAATGTACCTTGAAAAACAAGGAGCACCTAACATCTGTTTCATTTTATTGTGGGACTCTTCAGTACAACACGCCGACCCTGCCAGGGACCTAATTAAGGACATTGAACTTGCATTCGAGCGACTTAGCACAGCACTTCCTAGTTTACAATCATATCTTAACAGACCAATTAATCAAATGACTGAATTCCGCATCAATCACAATCATTTTTAAACTAGTTTATGTTGCGTTTATTAATTATGCAATTACCTATCTACCCGAAACAATATTAATGGCGTCATTTCTTCTATCTCTCACACAACATTATTTCTAACTATACCTACTAAATCACTCTGCATTATAAATATTTTATTTACCACTTAATCACAATTAAAATATTCCTAAAATGCTAAAACTGTTCATTTGACCTAAGCTTTTTAATATATTTTTTCTTTAAAATCGATTACATATAAACTTGATTAGTTGTATCACAATATCAAAGTGGGCTTTAGAATAAATTCCTAAAGCTTACAATGAGAAGCTATGACTTATAAAATCAGACAAAGCAGAGAACCAGACAGTTGTAAGTGATCTATGACATTCGATGAGAATCATGCTACATATTACTAGTCATGCTGTAAAACATTGATGATCAATGAGGATCCATATTTAGCGGGTGAACGTTCATCATTATCACTGTAAAAGGATATGTAGATGGTGAAAACCTGTACTAACTCACTTATCAAGTACAGATGTTCGGATTCCAGTTACATTGCTTCTGTGAGAAATAGTGATTCTATCCGACTATCCAAACAGATAATGATGAGCGGCGCCCTAATCTACCACCCACATATCTATACCTGTGTGGTAGAAATGCAAAGCCATCACTCTCTACTCAAAGAGTGCAATCACGATTATCATCGATGAACCCCTTTAACTTTATGATTTACAGGTGGATTTCTCTTAAAATATTTTTTTATTAATAATCACTCGGTCATTATTGTGATCCGAGTTGTTTTACATCACATTACATGTAAGATTAATAAATGAAACTTATCAACAAACGCCTAAACTGTTGGAATTTGGTGGTTTACTCTAATAAAAACTAATGAGTATCATTTCGTCCAATTAGTCCCTTCGATAATCTTTTGTAAGGCAAGAACAACGAGCAGTGGCCATAGGAAGACACACATATTGGACATTGGTCATTCAGTAGATCCCGATACTCCCTTCCAAGTGGTAAACAGACAGAATAATGACAGGCACGCAGAAGACGCTATTTGCTGCTTCAACCCCAAATGATGCGTACAAAATGAACTTGTGGTTCACTAGGCACTACTTTGATGACCGCTTCAATGATAATCTTACCCTCTTTATTTCATCTCACCTTTTTTAAAATATTCAAAATTAGCTGTTTGACCTCTTCTTAATCGAAATTACACCTTTATCGTTTAAGAACAAAGAGTATGAGAGCGAATGATCGTTTTCGATAACTTCTTCATTAGCCTCTACAGTTATAAATCCGAAATAATCATTTTTGTTTTACAATAGACAAAAAATAAAGTTGGATTAATCTATGCTATAAACTGAAAATGCCATACTTTACATCAATTGAATTTTCAATACTAATCTTTATTACGAACAGAGTAAAGCAACGTCATTACTTATTTTGGTCATACTAAAATTATTTAATACAACTAATCTTATCAATGTAACACTATTCAATACGATGATTGATCCCTTAGCTATTTCGTCCTGTTTTCCAATATATTCAAATACTATCGCTATTATTAGTGTTATTATCATCATCATTATGAATACAATTGTCTTTTTGACAATTAAGATCACTTTCACCGTTCTGTCTACCGCGATCATAACAACTTGCTCCTGTTTCTTACATTCACTTACGTCATATCCTCTCTTTCTCTCTCGAGCGCGCTTAATCCATTCACATATACATTGAACTTGTATGAATATATGGAAAGCAATTGTAATTATTTGTCACTAAAGTAAATGGGACTGTATACATGTTACACATATAATCAGATTTGTAAAACATTTCGTTTATTTATACAAATTAGTGGCATATTTATATGGTTTAAAGTATACACAAAATGAAATGAATTTACTTTATCCCACAATTTTTTTATTCATACTTGGCTAAATGAGTATTACTGATAACTTACTCTATCTGCATAGCCAACAGGTAGAACGGAACATGCATTTTTAATCAGATGTTTCAATTCCTCTTCTGTTTTATTATTTTGAAGTTGTCCATAAAGTGTTTCAACGAAAAATTTACAGGTTAAACAAACATCTATACCAGATGATAGAGTTGCAGTCTATATAATCATTAAGACAAATATATATGTAGAAATAAAAAAACAAGATCTTACGATAAATAAAACACTAAGCATTCAAAATTAAAAGTTTATTCAGAAAAAGTCAACTCAATTATAGTAAAGAGATACTGCGATCAATCTGGAGGTTTATAATCATGTTATGCTATCTAAATTGAATATAAATGGTTAAACAAAAACGGGTACAATGGGATAGATGAGATTGATTCATGTACAGTGAAAGCCAAAGTGATTATTTTTAGTGGCAGTTTCGCTAGTCTACTCTGCTTGTAACAAGTCAAATGTACAATATATTCGGCATGGGTAGTTTCACATTGCACTTGTGAAATCTAGTTTCTCTAAACTAAGGATACTCGGTGACTATTTCTAATTATCGTTATTGTGGCAAGTTCGTTTTTATTTGACGAGAACACTATCCTTACACAAAATGAAACTATCCAACATATTGAGAAACTGTACGAATTATGAATAATGTATCACAGGAAATCATGGTATATTATGGATGACAACAAAATCTTTAAAGACTGAATTATTATTTAACAATATAAAACAAGAAACCATAAAAGTCATTTTTACGATAAATTACATGAAAATCTATATTGGACTGGCAGTTTTTTCAAAATAGCTACTGTATGTTAATGATGAAACTTTGTTCAACTTGCAAAAGCGAGACGAGACTCTAATACACGGATTGGAAGAATTTATACTGTGCGATTTTATAGGTACTATAAACAGAACTTTCAACAAGGATATACATCTATTAGATAAGATGATCAAAATGGGAAAACCTTGCGCATATTGATCGTCTAACTTTATCAAAGAAAACCATTTATAAAGACGATCCACTTCTCATATCAGAACAAAAGAAGTAGTAATACTTACTACATCGAAAAGTTAGTACGGTTGAAATAGATAAAACTGGTCTAAAGTTTCCTCGATTGTTTAATTTTAATTATTTTTTAAAATTAAAGTGATTACAGTCTTCAGAAATCTAAGTTCTCGAAAAACCCAAGAAATAGGTCAGATAAATTAACCATACACATACGTGGATTTAAGTCATCTATACTACTTAAAAGAAATACTAAAAGTGAGATTACAGGATAAACAATATAAGTTGCTTGTGCACGCATCCTTGACTCCCAGCTATTTTTAGTAAAATTTATCGTTATTAATCAAGTATGGAGAAAAATCCAAGTCCAGTAGTATTGTTTGAAACCGAAACTGTTATGACCTGACCTAGCCGTCGCCAATTTGTTATGTTCTTGACCTAGGCGGTAGCCAATTGTTATGACTTGATCAAGGTCGTTGCTGATTCGTTATGACCTTATTGGCCTTTATCCGCCTAACCCGTCCACTTGAGTCCAAAACACCAATAGCAGCCTCGGCAATACGAATCGTTTATTTCAAGCATACTTTGTTTATATATCAGACAGACAGACCACACCATATCATAAAATAGAAAATAATATTTGTACAAAACCAAGCCAAATAAGGCTGTAAGCGTGGGAGACAATAATCAATAAAACTGAGTAAATCATATAGTAATAATCAATAGGTCAAAATGAAGCTGGTAATAAGATGAATATAGATATAGATAATCTAGTTACCGAATAGTTATACAATAAGAATGATAGTCCAAATAGTAGGTCCTGCAAGTTACCCGTACTTATGTCTTCGCTACTACATAACAGAAACATGAGTAGATAAGTTAATCTACAAATAAGATCTGCTCATATATATATATATATATATATATATATATATATATATATATATACCGTCGCGTACTAATGGTGTATCGATTTTTCACCAAGAATATGAACGACATGAATAAAAAACATTAACAACAGTTTACATGTGACTCAAAAAATGATTGCTTCATATTTTACAAAGAAAAGAAAACACTATTTTTTTTATCTTTAACACACAATCGCATATATATATATATATATATATATATATATATATATATATATATAATATGTAGTTATATCTAGAAACCCTAAAATACTAACAATGTTATATAATTGACATATCTCGATAGCTTAAACTAATTTTCTATTAATTCAATAAACTTAATAAAACCAATATAACAATTTCAGATAATTTGTATAACATCCTAAGTATAAATATGTGAGTGTACACTGTTAGTATTTGTTATTTCATATTCATAAGTGTATTTATTATTTATCAGAAGGGGTTTTGTGGAGATTTATTATGTTTCATAGTTGAAAGCATGAGTCAATTGAAGCTAGACCACCATGGAAAACCTGGAAACACTGAACGGCTGTTGGATACCAGCTCAGTGGTTTATCGGTTAAAGGCTCTGGCTCGAGACTGGTAGGTCCTGGGTTCGAATCTCGCGAGTGAGGGTTCGTGGATGCGCACTGCTGAGGAGTCTCATAATAGGACGAAACGGCCGTCCAGTGTTTCCAGGTTTTCCATGGTGGTCTAGCTTCAATTGACTCATGCTTTCAACTATTTATTATTTATTTAAACACATAAATATTGGTATAGAGGGGCACCAGATACATATGCGCCACACAAATCTCATTTAAATTGTGTGAGGGCGGTGATACTGCCCAGGTGCCCAAACCGAAGCAGGTACAACAGAAAAACCTTTTTGATAAATTTAACACTATAATACTACACATCAAATTATTCATACTAGAGCAGACTGACTAAAAACAATTTTAAACTATATCCAATAAACCTCAAAAACGATAAATCAACTGCACTATTTATAAATTAACATTTTCATGTCATATATGCTTGATAAATTACATTAAAATGATAAGTTTTCATATAATAATTAATAAATTATCCAAAGTATTCAGATTTATCACACACAATCAACTGCTATCAGATATTAAAATTTAAAATTATTCTCTTGTGATTCCATGTTACACTCACTAAAAAAACTAAAGTTTACTTATTTAGTGAACGAAAACTTAGTGGGGAAAACCAATTTATTGTTTAGTGCAAAACTACAGAGTGCCTTCACAAATATCAAAATTATAGATTAAATAAATCATTTGCACAGCTTCTTTGCCTTGTCCTTTACATACTCCATTACACCGCTAATTCAGTTGTTATTTGGATGAATCTCAGATTTATTTTCTGTTCTCTTCATCGCAATCTTCTCCTGCCAAGGATTCCATTTCCGATCGCGGTTACATACTAATTATATTTGTCAGAATAAGTAGCATGCACCACACTTATACAATTAGTCAGCAATGCTGCAATGAATCTGTGTGCAGTGGTTGACCATTTTCAAATTTATTTATTTATTTAAACACATAAATATTGGTACAAAGGGGCACTAGATACATATGTGCCACACAAAAAATTATCATTTCATTTAATTGTGTGAGGGCTATGATACTACCCGAGTGACCAGACCGAAGCAGGTGGTTTTCTTAGGGGGCCACACCTCGAGACTTTGACCTAAAATCTGACCCAAAAGGCAGTGGAGCATCGTGAGGAGATGCAGTCCCATGGTAGTTGGTGACCAACGATAGATTCATACTCCATTTGTTCCCTCAGGATACTGAAGCCCATGTGCACCATTGGTTTGGTGTCAGGGTTTTCCAGCTCCCCTAGGTGAACTTTACGTATCCACCGACCCGGTTAAAGTCCGGGACATTCGCTTTTCGTCCTCTCAATTTCGTAAACAACAGTAATGCCACGAGAAGGCAGTGAGTAGGACTTCCCTGGAAGAGGCTATATACTCGTGGCCATGTGAGAGCATTTGGAGAGGGAGAGCGAACTCTCTCCACTCTCAGCTGTACCGGGGCATTTGGAGGCGATGACGGTATTGTTGTGTGCTAGGTTCAAAGAGAATTGTTTGCTATATGCATGCAAATCCGCCCCGTTATTGTTCCCATTATTGATTTTCAAATAGTTATTATTATAATTAACAGACAGTTATGAACTGTGAAGTTTAATAATATCAACACTATTATCTGATTGTCTAAATATTAACAAACAAAAGGTAGTTTAAGTTCAATATTTACTGATTAGAAAGAAAAAAAAATTTAAAATAATAGTTAAAAACCCAATGCCATAATTGATATTATACTGAAATAATTCATTTGTTTATACACAATAGAACATTATTTGCAATTCATATCCAATGGTAAATTGATATGAAATGTCATTCAATTGAATTTTCTGATATTTATTGTTCAATAATACATTCATTTCATACTACTTAAATTCAATGGATACAGTGTAGTATATGCAGAATTTAGTTTACAATAAACGTTTCGATGATTTTTTTAAAATTATTTATCTGGTACTAATTCACATCATATAAGCCTAAGTATTAACATTTCTATACATAAACGGTTAGAAGTTTACAAAAAATAGATTAATTTATAACGAAATTAGTTACTAAATAGAATTAAAATAAACAATTACACAATAAACATTATTCACTCAATCGCTCTCTCTCTATCTCACTCACTCACTTCGTCACATAACAAAATGAAATTTTGAATAACGAATAGATAAACGTTCATATTTAGTACAGTAGATAATAAACTGTGATCATTTATGTTAACATTGTGATTATAATGTATATGGTTGTAATGAAAACAAGACAATTTATTAACTAGTGTTTATATGTATAATATAGTGGGTTTTTAGATCATTTAATTTACATCTTATTTTGAGTTACAGATTCGTCATTTCAAAATGGATTGAACACATATGGTGTCAACGCAGTGTTAGTGATGCTGATATTCAATAATGTATGTTTAAATGAAGCAATAATAATTCAACTGGTGCCATAATTATAAAACATTGCAATTGGGTAACTTAGATATACTTTACGAATGTTACCTCAGCGAATTCCAAGTTGTGCATTATTTGCCGACGATTGGACCGAGTAGAAGATGGAAAAAGATTATCGGTTTGTGAAATGCAACCGTGAAATGAAAGACACCAAGTGGATGGAGGCTGACTCAGGTTTCAAGCAAGTTGGAAATCATCAGCAAGGTATACCCGTAATTTTGAGGGAACTGATGGGCTATGAGATTCAAAACCTCTATCAGCCAGCTTCATGAAAGGATTAGTATCTGTTGGTCCAATTTTTTCAGGAAAACCCAAGGACTTCTTAAGTACTATAAAAGCCCAATATTTTTTCTGTACATAAATGAACCTTTGGAGTAAAGCGCTTTTCGCATATTTTGCGCTTTTTCTCTCGTGTTCAAGTCGCTGTGTACATTTAGCTTAGGGCTTACAAGAATAGCGTAGGAACCGAGTATAGTGTTCAATTAGTAAGAATTATCAACTATGGATAATTGTTATTTGGAGTCTTTTACTATGTTCGTTATAAATAGTAAGATGTTGCTTTTATCCATTATACAGATTTTTACTAGAACTATGTTTGTTGGATAAACAGTAATCTTCTTTTCTTTTTAGCTCGTCGTGTTAGACACCTCTTTTTGGTTTATGTTATACCAGACAACCATCTACTGTTTTATGGCTAATGCATGCTGCTTATCAGTCAATCAGCTGTAAGCAGTGGAGGATCTAACACATGTGCACCGATTCGAATTGCTAAACCATACCAACATAGCGGGGTGGAATTACCAAGAGAACTGCCAGAATAGTAGAAGCAGTAACAGGATCAGTGGTAGTAGAGAACACCAGGCATAAAAATATGATTTGAGAAGAATGATTTCTAATCCTGGTAACGCTTTCACCAAGTACAGATTTATGAACTTTGTATCCCATTGGTGGTATGAGATCTAACGATACTACTTATTTACACAAGAAAAGAATTAGGTAGAGCAAGCTTTGAAACTCATACCTATTGGTTAGAGAAGTTGGGTGTTTAAACCATTAAGCAATTGACATAACTACTATGTGACGAGTTCCTATTTATAAACCATTATTGCAATGAATGTAAAATTTTATCCAAACTACATAATTTATCGGTGTTAGCATTAAAAGTCAGTATTGGGAAATAATAGAAATCGACTTCATTTCTTGGAAAAAGAAATCAAGGAGGATGGAAACATTACCCTTTATCTTAACAAATAACTCGGAGAAACGCATGAAGATAACAGAACATTAGAAATGTAATGAAAGATACCACTTTGTCGCAAACTAAAATGTAAGAGCGATGTTTATTTATATGAAACGTGTGGTAGGTATACACTACTTTTAGAGAAAAGTATATGAATAGGAAAACTGAACATTTTTATACTCAAGGCGATAAAAATAGAAATTATGAAAATCTTTTCGTCTTCAGAGACAAATATATTTTTTAAGATATCTCTCTATACGACCTGGCTACCTTACTCGACTAGCCTCATCCCGTATAAATGGGGTAATCAGCGTTAGAAGACAGATGACGAAAACTCTAGCATATTCTTGCGTATTTTTATTTATTTGAACACAAATACTGGTACAAGGGGGCACCAAATATATATGCGTCACACAAAAAATTATCATTTCATGAAATTGTGTGAGGGCTATGATACTGCCCGAGTGTCCAGACCGAAGCGGCTGGTTTTCTTAGGGGGCCACACCTCGAGCCTTTGACCCACAGATCTGATTCACAAGGCAGTGGAGCATCGTAATGAGATTCAGTCTCATTGTAGCCGGTGACCAACGATTGATTCATACGCCATTTGTTCCCTCAGGACACTGAAGTCTATGTGCCTCCCAGGATACTAGTTGTCCTTGTTTTGAAAATGTGTGGCGCATATGTATCTGGTGCCCCCTTGTACCAGTATTTGTGTTCAAATAAATAATAAACAAAATGTTTTGAAAATAAATGTACGAATAAACTATAAATATAATCTATTTGATATTCTTGAGTTGAATACCTTTTCACACTCTTAAACATCAATCACAACTTAATATAGTAAACACCAGACAGATTTGAACACTCCATAATCAAAAAACGAAAAAGTGTAAAGAGCGATAGACTTCCCAGTAAAGATACTCATTACTTTAATGTTAAACGGTTGTTGACACTAATTTTTTAATAATAAACAAAACGAAGTGAGGAATCAATTTTCTTTGATCATAATGAATATCGTATCTTACTGTTATATCTGTCTACCTACTTAAATGACTGAATGAGACGTTTCTTGTGCAGTAGCGAAATAAATCCAACTTGAACATTTCAAATAATCAGAATGACAATAAAATGGGCAATCATACTACACAGTTGGGCAGTTCAATTTAACCAAACTAAACAGAAATTAGAATTATTATGAAATAAAAATTGGACAATAGAACTTACTGTTTGAACCTGATGATCCTGACGTGGTGGTAGTGACGGTGATGATGATGATGGCAGCCCTACCTTCTGCTGAATGGGTGAAGCACACAATCCTATACTTCCACATAATAGATCAGGTGCAGTGCCGTCAATAATAGCACTAACAATTTTCGCTCCGTATTTTTCAACAAAGTTCTCACACTGTGTATCGTAATCAGATGGTAGATGTTCACAGACCTAATATTTGACAAGAATTGAATATATAAAGTAACAATAATGAACAAATTTTCAGAGGTAATTACAAAACTTTCCACTGAATATATTCAATGGTAGGTAGAATAGCTAATTCACTCATCCGTAGTTAAATTTAATGTATTTGCTTTATGTAGCTATAAAACTGTGCAGTGTATTTTTATTTTTTATACCTTCAAGTTTATCAGATTGTTAATTTAAAACAACATAAGTACATTGATAAACCATAGGAAGCTCTATTAGGTTTAGCAATCTGAATTTGTAACAGGTACGAAAATCAATGCTATCCACCTACATAGATATTTTCAATCAATACAAAGCACATGATCTAAACTCTGGGATGAAATCCCGGGCCTTTTGGATTCGGCTGCCAAACTAAGTCATATAAGTCAGTGAAAGGTACAAGGATAAAAAGTTGATCAAAACTACACTGTCTTATTGATACGTTAATAAGCATAAAACGTAGCTTTACGATGTACAAAAGATTACATTACTTGATCAAAGAAATACGACTGCGTGTTCTAACTTTAGGGTCACCTGTTTCCCAACTGTGAATACTACAATTATTCTACCTGTTTTAGATTTCTTTAGACTGAATAGTTATGAATGGTAACTGTATGTATTCACAAGTTATTATTAAACAGTTAAAAATTGTTATGATAACAAATACTGGGAAACTCAAATGAAAGCACTACGATTCTTGGCACATCTTCCTTTATTTACCTTCTGAAAACAGTGAAAGACTAATGTATTAAAATCTAAACACATTACATATGATGAATGGGAAAGTAGTTATGGCAAATAAACTAGCAGAAAGTTTTAGTGATTGAATGAGGGTAGATGATGACTTTGAAAGGAAACTTTAAAGTATATAGAATGTGGTGGAATCCATGAAGCACGGTTCGTCCCATTTAAAACTCGTCAGTCGGATATTACAAGTATGTTATCATAAATTTACCATATATTCTACCCAATTATTAAATCTTGATAGTGATATTTAAATGCCAAAAATGGCCTATGTACTATTGATTAGAAGTAATAATAGAGTAATACTTTCTAAGGCAGCAAAAAAAAGCATTCTGTTGGACGTATTACTCAATTCATATATAGTAATGATAGTACACAAATAAACTAAGTTTTGAAGGAGATGTCTTGATGGAAACAAGTACCTAGAATGTTTACTTAATCAGTTTCATGACTAACTACTAATTGCTAACCGCTTGTGAACACTTGGGATTCGACAGGAATTCACTTACGGAGAAGAATTTGAAAATAAAATAACATGTTCCTTAGAAAGGACTCTCTACAAATTAAAATTCCGTTTAATTCTCTTTTCTTCCCCATTGTTTGAAGCATTCAAGGAAAAGAAGCTAATTATGAACGTTTAATTCAGTGTACATCGACTAGTTTATCAACTTTTATGGTAAATTAGGTGCATAGAATCCCTTTAGTGTTAGCACTCCAAAAGCAACTCCAAGTACATTCCCTGTTGACAGCGCATAATATAGTAGAACATTGTATGAATTAATTGTATATTGTCTTTTAGATTATTCCAAATAGGTATAAGCTTGGAACTTTTGCAACTTAGAATTATAAGAATTCATGGTTCCCAAGTGATACAATGTCCAAGGATTAAGTCTAACAGTCAGGTCTTAATGAATTGGAGTATGAGTGACATAAATTAATTTCCTTCAATAGCTGATGACATTTTATCATATTTATTTCGTATTTATATCCTGTATATAAACATTTTTTCCCTGTTACATGAACAACCACTCATTTGGATAGTGATCATGTCTTTGGTTTCTAATCATTAGGCCTAAATCAATAATACGGTCTCGTCAGTAACCATCACTCGGCCGCATCAAGTCATTGCGTTTATCTGTCGATTAGCCTTCTATTCATTGATTTCAACAATTGAAAACTTCGTATAATCAAATCACATAAAACCTAAATAACACTGTTATGGCTCTTAACTGAAAATGTTTGCACAATAATATAAGTTGCCACTAACGTCTCATTAATATCAAGAAAAACCATTTTTTATGAGCTTTAGAATTTACTTTTTACTCTTTTAACCAGGATTAATCCCATCATTTTTGTTGCGCTAAGCAATAAATAATAAAATAATCAGTACCATAAATAAAAACTCAATACTGATGAAAAAATGCTTACAGTTTCTAAAGCTAACACAATTGCAGCTTCAGTTTGATTACCAATAGTTAGTTCAAATATCTTTTTGACCAATAGAACACATAATGGACAAACACCAGGAATATCTTGTGATGTAGACAACGATGGTAACATTTTGTCACTAGGTAAATCGATGTATTCACTGGTACACATTCCAAACAAACTACATATCTCTTTAGGGTCAACCTCTTTCATACCATTGATTATTTGATCAAAGTTATATTCTATCGCTTCTTTACACTAAAATGTATAGATCAAATTACTCATATAATACATACAATTTTAGTGGAACGTAGAGAAAAGCAGTAAATCCAAACGAAAATTTACAATGGGAATGCTACACGAGACGAGATTTAACAGAAACATAAGTATATAGAAAATACAAACAAAAACTGGAAATTAGTTGGACCTATCCAGGCAATATATACAACTGTTGAGCATCAGGTACCTATGATCACCATTTCATTCCAGTGAAATATATTACCTATAGAAGCGAGTATTTACATCTCACTACCGTTATCTTAACAATTTGATGCGTATTTGATGGAGATAATATACAAGTATTGATGTGCATCAATATACTTCAGGTGACTGATGGTCTTACATTATGTCTGATAAGAAACAAGTCCAGAACACGTAATTCCACACCAAGTTTTGTATAACAATCATTAAAGTTCCAAAATTTTATTTTATTAAAAAGATGGTACATTAACGGACGTTATCAGATATGGCTCAGAATAGAAGCCAGTGGCGATCCTGCTGTAACCTTCTTTTACTTTTTTCATAAAAAGTGGTTGTAACTTCCTTAACTGAAAGAATTCTTCTGGTTTTACCTTTCCGTTTCTCCCATTATTATTCTTATTATTACACTAACATACACTAATCTGTGGTTGTTATTATTCTTTTTTTTTCTTATACGCACCTTACCTTCTTCTCTCCCATTCTCATTGTTGTTGCGTAGAACATATATATCTGGTGCCCCCTTGTAGCAATATTTACGTGTTCAAATAAATAATAAATAAATAAATGAACGCTGCGCTAGTAATGGATATGAATTAATCAGGAAAATGATATCAACAGTTGAATTCAACTGTATTGTGAGAGATAAGTTTAGTCCTCAAATTATGAGCTAGGAAACTCAAATATGGGATAAGTAATGCCCAGTCATTTAACATTTGTGAGATTTCAGTGAACTGAGTAGGTACAGAGTATTTAACATGCCCTAAGGCAAATTCTTACCAGAGGTGGCGGGAGTAAGGAAATTTGCGACAGATAACCAGGATCTCCAGTGATGGTGCTTTTTTGTACAAAAAGTCTGGATAAGGTTGGCTCCAAAGCTAATAAACACGCTTCTCACACATTTTCGGTACCAACGATAAATTTTAAAAAGTACGGAGCTAGTAGTAAGAACCAACTCACAAAATAGGACGTGATCAAGGTGAAATAGTTATCTCACAGACACTTAGTTCGCACACCTGGTTAGTGAGATGATAAGCAGCATCCTAGTTACTTAAGCGAATGTTTTATGGCAACTCCATATCCAGCAGTATCCGTGTTTATCATGTTTGATAACCACTTTCTATCTTTTCATAAATTTCCATCCCTCCCATTAATCATTCCTTCCTAGCATTGTTTCCTTTCACCTGTGAAATTAATCCTGATGATCAGAGTCTAAAAAGCTATTGCTGGTTTTCTGAAACTGTTTTCAAACTGTCTAGTTGAGCAGTACATTTTCCTATAGAGTACGTGTATGTTGTCCCTGATATCTTTATAAACCTAAATAAATCTACTTAGCTCGGCTCAACCATATCACCGTGTGTAGGACTAATGGATAGATAATGTATATGATGGAAAACATATTTGGCACATGACGTAGTAATGTAAGAAAGACATGAAATTTAAAATACAACTTACAGCGGCGGTAAAGAAGCCCATGTGTGTGCAAACTTTTTCATCAATCAACTGTTTTAAGCGCTCCTGTATAGCTGGGTTCTCAACACCTGTCTTGAATTGATTCAGTACTGATAGACAGTTTGGACAGGTTGGAGTTTCTTGAGATTTGTATGAAGTCCATTTATGACCAACAGTACCCAATGGGCGTCTTATCCATGAAAATTTTCTATCTTCATTACATTTCTTTCCTTCATTAGTCTAAGAATTCAAAATATACACACCACTTAGCAAGTTGCTAGAATTACTCGTATATTTAGTGGGGTAATTTACAAAGATAACTTAAGAGTCTGACTTCATTCATCGGCTAAACGCACAATTCATACTTTTCCGATCTATAAATTCTTACTGTACTAATACAAGCTCGTGTGCCTTAATGCATTTTGCTATGGCTTAAAGTGAAAACAGCGGAATTGGTTTCAAATATTACACACAGTCATGCATTTCGAATTATAGTGATTTGTTGACATAAGCTCTAATTAATGCATATATAACACAAAAACTGTCCAATAGGTTAACTCAACATAAGAGCAAAGAAAAAATGAATTAAATTGATGGTGCACACAAAAGTTAACTAAACGGGAAAATTAAAAGCAACAAGTTAAATGGAATGCACAAATTAGTACAATGTTTAGTACTTGGGATGACGAAAAAGAACACTACTTTACCGTCATTGGTTTTAGGTGTTACTATCACAAGTTATAGTCACGTGCAAAACAAACAACTACATCCGATAAACGAAGGTACAGTGACGTAACTTGACATCAACTATCTCAACCAAATAAAAGATTACGCAAAGGATAACTTTTTAAATCAACCAGTAGTAAAGCACTAAAATGATACAACTACATCCTGTTAACTTACTAAACTGTTCACGCAAAATTTGTGAGATCGGAAAACAAAATTTTAATAATGGTACAAGCTGTCTCTGACGTTTACTTTTATTAAAAATGCCAAGGCAAAAGTCACGTCATGATGTAATTTACCAAGGCATTAACAAGTCTGAAACATTAGATCTACTGCATAATGTGTCACTGACAAACTGGAGTATTTTGGATCACCGAGAACTAGATCATATGTATGCTGAAATGAAGCTGGGTATGTCAGACTCCATAATAGATGCAGCTTGGATCATTTGAAAGACTGGCTACTGGAAAGTTTTGTAATACTCAGTTAACAACGCCAGGGTCCAGCAACTGTACTTACCATGAAGTTGGCCAGTGTGAATTTCGTCTTCACATTTACACAAAGTCCAAGCGTTGCACAAATCTCTTCAGGACTCTAAAATAACTAAGATAAATTCAGTACGGTTCTCACCATCTTTTCTGAAATGATGTGCAGGATATATGGAATGTGAACATTTACCAAATTTTTGCAGTATGGAATTATTTCACCGGGAAGATTATTGCAGACTAATTCATCAAGCTGTGCTTCAATCTGGGCAGCAGTTGAATTATCTTCAATAAGCTTTCGCATATCATTAACTAATCGCTTACAATCATCACAAAGTGGAACACCAAAATTTAGATCCTTGTTAATGTCAATAGAAATGCACACTTACTTTGATGTATGTATGAGAATCACAAAGCGTAAGAATGTTACACAAAACATCATTGCGATTCTAATCATTAGTTTATTTAACACAGCACTAACCTTGATGTATTTCAGTTGAGACAAAGCGTTGATGATATTCTTGCACTAATTTTGTCTGTTAATCCAATAGAAAATAATTACCTCTTCATCCTTAACTCCAGTAGCACAAAGCAATGGTCCAATCTTGTAATCCCACACATAGGGTGAGATTAACCGGCAATTAGTGCACTCAGAAGAATTATCTATTCTAAATTGCGACCATGGGTACTTCTTCCATTCGCTAATACATTCAGGAAGAATATTATGCTTTTGTGCAGAGACAGCACTTCGGCAAACTAATCTGTCAACCGTAGCATGTGAAACAAATAAGTGTGATAAGAATATTACTAAAAGTCTCATATAAGAAGCGAGCTTATTACCAACAAAAGTCCAGTGCAACATATCTGTCAGCACATCACCTCACTACTGTTGTTAATCGAACCAAATAACCTGGGGAAAATAAAAGCAGTAAATACTTTGTCTCCGATGTGGAAAAACAATTTTCCATAGGCACATTATCTATTTTAATGTATAATATACAGTTGACGTATTAAAAGTTTCACATCATTAAATTTTTATTTTGTCACTGAAAATTTATGGAAGTCTTCAATCATCTCGTTTATGAGGAGCACAATAACGCGCCATTATCAAAATGGCAAGCTTTTGTGCACTGAAGTGTTGCTTGTTCACTGCCAGTTCGAAAAGTTTCAACCTTTAGGAATGGATAGATCCCCAAAATAAATAGTTATGTAAGTCTTTAGTATTAGTTTTTACCCCATTATTTTAACAGGACACACCTAACTGAATGCTCACAGTCACGCATCCACACCAGATCAATAGTGTGTAAAGCCGTACTTCTCATCTCTTGCAACTGTAGACCAGCTTAGACCGAACGCTTCTCAACATATCGATATTCTTCCAAATACAACTTCGAACTCATTCATTTATGACTTCTGATTTTACTGGGTTGACATGCTTCAATTATAAATGTGCTACATGCAAAGGCGATGTCAAACTCCGAATACTTATAGCATCTTTACATATATTCACAAGGAAGGGTTTTGTTGGTATTGGACCCCAACCACACGACCTTTGAGGTCGGGCATATAATTACTGAAAAGACATATTCAACAATCGACACGAAGAGGTCAGTAAAGGAGAAGGCGGGAAGGATTATTTCAATTCATAGGATAGCATGGCTCAGCCTTGCAGGTGTGGTTATTCTTGTGTAACTTATCCCTTTCATTCATACTAACTATATTGTTCTATCTCCAGCCTAAATGTGCTCTTTACCATATTTTAGTGATTATTACGATAGGACGAGTCAGTGTAGACAATGATATGAATTCCTCGTTAGGATCTTATAGATTAGGCAGTCACGTCGTGACAAATCTACAATTTTGGGGTTAGGTCTATTATTAGAGAAGTAATAGTAACGAATTAGACCATAATTCTACAGGGTAGTCGATCTAAGCTGGACAGCCATTGAAAACCTGAAGTAGGACTAACAATGCGGTAGCATTTCAAAAGCCAATCGCCAAAACGAACATTATTCCCGCCATATTAGGCAGCACATAACTACCACAAGTACATCAATTTGTGCCAAATCACGCAGATTACCCCCGGGTAAGCTGAAGATTGCAAAGAGGGAATTTCAATATATGGTGCGTCTGGGCATCATCCAAAAATCTAGCGGCCCACCGGTTAGTCCGTTACACACGGTGCACAAGGGGAGTCAAGGTCGACGTCCGTGTAGTTATTGCCGTTATTCGGATAACCAGACCGCTACAGACAAGTATCCCATTTCTCATTTACATGATTTCTCTTTGAATCCACATGGAAAACAAGTTTTTTCCGAGCTGGACATCCCAAGAGTGTAGAAATATGGTCTAGTTCTGTTTTAGTACATTTGTTTTTGGTACTATAATGATAAACCTAATCTCAAGATTGTAAATTTGTCACGATGTGACTAGCCAGCCTATAAAATATAACATGGAAGTCACATGATTGTCTATTCTGACTCGTCGCATCGTGACAATAAGCAATGCGTTGTTTAACACTCCTGGAGAACACATTTCGGCAGGAGATAAAACAGCATGTTCAGTGTGGGAAGGTGCAAGTCATACAAAATGACCACGCCTGCAAAGCTGAGCCATGCCATATCGAATGATTGTTCCAGCGCTCATCATAACCGATCTCTTCCAAATGCTACATGTTAGATGTCAATCTTCTCAGCAATTAAGTTTTTAACTTCGATAACCGTGTGGTCATGAACCAGTACGACCACAAACTAATCTCAGCATCGTATTCCCCTCTATTTATTGTTCTGCTCCATGAAATATTGAAGAGATTTTGATACATAATTACATAAAACTTCCATCTTTTATGTGACAAATGGGGTTTCGTGGTAACAACATTGTCTAACTTTACAGATCACAATAAATGTCAATTTCCAGGATTTTCACTTTGAATTGAGTTTGGTATAAACTTCAGTAATGCAAATCCAACACTGAGAATATGAAGTAGAAATGTCTAATAGAAAAGTCAGTCGTATAAACTTGTCAGGTCAATCTCCCAATCAGTGCAAAATAATTTGCATTCCACACAATGCCTCAGTAATTATAAGACGTGCATTTACCCCTCCTCATGGTGTGAGTCAGAAGACTTTAAGGCGATGCTTTTCTCTCTTTACTACACAACACGAGCGGGAAGTGGAGCCAGGGGTCTCTACTTAAAACAAGCATACACTTCAGTATTCAATATAGGGAATGTAACTACTGCAAATATAAGGTAGTCAAAAACCACTTCATCTATGATATTTTCATCCTAATAGATTTTCGAATAACCCTTAAAAATTCAACTTTCATTATCCAGACAAAAAATCTTACTGGAACATTCGTACCGTGTCGGAACGATGCTCAATATACGTGTTCCACTTCTCAAGAAAATTGGTTTACCGAAGAAAACTTTTTTGTTAATGACAATAATAATAATGTGTTCTCAAATAACAGTTTGTTGCATGAGGCATACCAGTTTACAGGCAAGATGGAATTGTTTCGGCAGTTACAATTTTCACTGTACTGATATTTATAAAATATGAATGTAGATGGTTTTAGTGAGAAACATGACAATATTCTAATTGGCCCGCTTTATGAGGGTAGCGTTGCGACATACAGCTGATGGTCGAGAATAGATACATGCGACGTTGAGGGCTTTTAGAAGCTTCAACCTTATATCCCTCTGGAATATCTGAGGCTTCATTAACGGTGTAGGACGAAGCCACCCGTTCCATATCTGTTTTCGGTGGGGTATCTCAAAGGAGTTGAAAAAGGAAGGACGAAAATCAGAGCACACAATATTCACATGTATGACTTCTGGGTGTGTATAGTAAAAATTACGTTCCACGTGAACAGGACTCTTGTAGAGTTTTTGAAGACTGAGCCAAGAGTACAGTAACGTACTAACTTGGACAGCGTATGCAGACTTCCATGTACTTTCTGACGTCAGCATTCAGTGACAAGTAATTGGAGTCAAAAGCCAATTTTCGCCCTCAAAATCTGCATTACTGTAAACATATGGATAAAAAATGCTGATAGCACGTTTTCAGATACTTGACTATGATGATCCTAGAGTATGTGGTAGACAACTAGGGTTTTCAGTTTCATTTTGGAAAGGACAGGAGGCTTGATGGCCTGTGTTAGTACTGGCAATGATGGTATCTCAGCTGATCCAATTTTCTTTTGAAGGAGTCGACGGACGGAGCCTCAACCACGTGCTGAGGTAATGAATTCCACTCGTTGATTATTCGATGGGAAAGTCGGTAGTCAGCTGACAAGTAATTCGTTCTGGGCTTGTGAACTTTTTTGGAGTGTCCTCGTAGATTTTCTGTTTTGGAAGACAAGAAAAATGAGGGCATATCAGGTGCTAATTTATCACTAAGCAATTTGAAAACTGTAACCAAGTCGCCTTTGATTCTTCTATGTGACTGCGGGAATAGGTTTAGCTTGGTCAGTCTAGTACCATACGGGAGCTTCGCTAATCCGGGAATCAGCCTAGTTGCTGTTCTCTGAACCATTTCCAAAAGTTCACTGTCTTTTTTAGGCAGAGGCTAGCTGCTTGTATGCAGTACTCAAGTTTAGGATGTACGAACACTGTATACAAAGTCAGAAAAGTTTCGTCGTCGAAATGATTAAAAGCCCTGCGTATGAACCATTCATGGAGGAGTACTTAAGGTGTAACCATTTAGTCTGTTTCCCTGTTTTATAGGCACTTATTAGGCAAGAGCATACTAATGTGTTAAAGAAAGTAAGTGTGAATATGGTATGAGTGGATAAGGAATTATATACATGAAGGTAGTTCAGAAAGAAGTTGAAAGTATGGAATTATGTGTATTTTTAATATAGTGCTGAAAACAGTATTCTAATACAAATAGCTGTCTCCCCTCTTTTTCGAAGCTATTTGAACCCTTTTTGTTTTTAGATTTTATATGGTATGGAGCAGGCTTCGTTTTTAGTGAACCTATATCTGACATTGAGAAGTTTTTGAGCCATGTAAAATAACAGTACCCGCTTTAATTTTTTAGTTTCTTATAATATATTTTTACTGTACACTAACTGTCTTCTGATTGGCTAATATTTATCAAGGTCAGTGAAGATTCGTTCAAAGGTCGTCCATAAAGTTTAGTCTCGCCAGGTATTTTTCATAAATAAGTTTGCACCGATGCCGTTGGTTCGTGACATCCCACTTCACATAAGGAGTCGTAATTTATCATGTTCTGCCAAACAGACACGAGTAAATTGAAGTCGTCTTCATACTATCGTGCTTGCTGGCCAGTAACGCCAACCTCCCTCTCTTACGTTTGTGGTTAGTATGAATATTGCTCTAATCAAGGCCCATAGTTGGATACACTGTCTTTACTAGTTCCGTGTTACAAGCAAATCAGATGGCTAAAGCATTTGTATTATAGGTTAGACAGCCATTTAATATATCATACTGCTATGAAGATAAATAATGGTAAAAGGTATAGGAGATATGTCAGATTATATGTGGTTCAGAAATGGTAAGGACTAATAGCAAACCAAAGGATATGAAACAGTAGATTGTAAAATTTTCAGGGTTAGAAAAATAAAACATTGAGCAACTCACAAGAATTTAGGATATTTTGAGCCTCTTTTGATCGGCCTTAGTGGATCAGCATCCATAAGATTAGTGAGTCATCTGTCTAATTGTGATAAGAAAAGTAAAAGGACATGACACTTGGGAAGAATAATGTGGTTTTAACTATTAGAAAGATTCGGAATCTGAAAGTGAGGATTAGAAGCAGAAGGCCAAGATTGATAATCAATAAATAGTGGGGAAGATAAAGCATGTGTTCTGTTATTTGGTTATATTCATTCTAATAACAATGGGGTTCGTTATATTTCTGTTTTGTCCAGATACTATTCGGCCCATAATGAAGTGCCCCATTGGTGGGCGAGAGTTCAAGGAATA